GAGTTTGCTTACGCTGTGCTTCGGATAGTAGTCGATTGAGACCCTTTGGCAAAATGCATTTAAGTGGAGGGGTGCACTTTCAACATATGCAAAACGAGAGTGAATCTTCCACTAGAACATAGAAAGATGCACAGCATGGGAACCTTGAGCGGAGCGACGTCGATTTCAGTGGAGCGAGGCCCATTGATGTGCCGCCCAGAGCTACATCCCTCAGACCTTCTCATGGAATGTATCTGAGCCATTTTTCAGGTCCTATACAGTGACAATCTGTAATCCTTGTTTAGGAGAATCCACACGGCGAGCCTGGATGGCATCGTCTGGTGTTGAGGAAGTGAACGCGAAAAAGAAGAAACAACTTCAAAAGAAAGTAAAGAAGAAAAATGAACATCTCCAAAGACGGATATCGGACGAAACGCCTCCTCGGAGATGAACCACATCTCACAACTGGGCCCAGCTGGTGCAGCTATCGGTAGGCCACACACCGATCCAATAATTCGGCCTATCGGTCCCCTTAATTTTTTGAAGGTGATGCATAAAGACTCGAACAACCCGATCCTCGAGCTGTCCTAAGTTCCACTCAAAAGGAAATTCTCGCCCCCTAAACGTGCCCTTTCACCATCGATTGTGTCCCGAAAACAGCCAAGCTTACCAGAGCGGACGTCCAGGACCCCCCCCCGGGTGTCCGACTTGTCCGGTTGGACAACTCCCCGAGAGGTCTGACCGAGAAAAAAAGTCCCCTCACTATGAAAAATAGGGCGGGGGGGGGGCATTTTTCGCTGGTACAGGGTCCGATGGGTCTCTGGGAGGTCGTGGGCTGGCAGACCAGGTGCGGAACATAGTTTTGCTGAGGCCGGTAGGGCACCACAACTTCAAAAAAAAAAGGCCCAATCTAGGCCGTCAGATCTTTAAGGTTGAGGGCCCAGATTGGGCCGTTTGAATTTTGGAACCGGACTGACACTCCCCAGAATGGATATGGAGCCAGAGGACCATAAGGACCTGTTTTATTATTAATAAAAAAAACATTGCCTGGTTCTGCCCCTGTCTGGGCCTGTAAGATCGACGGCTCAGATTTTTGCAGCAGCGGCAACAGCACCTGCAATTGCTGTTGCAGCTGCAGCACTTCTTGCAGCAGCGACATCACCTGCAATTGCTGCAGCTGCAAATACTGGCTGAACACAGTGAGGCTGCCAAACCTTCAGGAAAGACTCGCCATTCTCATGCACTGCCATACGAAAGCAGCAGTACCCTGTGAACGCTTCTGCGTTGCACAGAGACTGGTTGATGTGATAGAATACTCTCTACCTGAGGCTGCTGCATCTGCTCTTCAACTGACGACGATGGAAAGGGTCCAATTACGGGGGTAGCCGGAGGATGACCAGCATTACATGCAGGATATGAACGGAGTGGATATGGTAGGCGGCGGCATCGGGGATAGTCCAGACAGTATAGAGACACATACTCCACATCCCAGCCTCCTCGAAGCATCACGAACACATGGCATGTTTTCTTTTCTTTTCATTTTATTTTTTTTGAACACATGGCACGTTGCTGACATGTCAGGAGGCTCAGAATCGCAGTCATTCGAGCATATGACATGTCACGGCCACAATAGCGTAACATGGAGGTGGGGGTGGTGGGTGCAAAGACGAAGTGTCACAGTTTCAATGGCAGAGGCTGGGCGTGACCATCCTTCATATTGTGCTGAGCAGAGATTATGCCATGTAAATGCCAACTGAAAAACTGTACCTATACGGAGATGATAGCATGGCACAGCCACCGCCCTCTCAAGGCCACCCTCACGATCAGCAGTAGACTCCGTCTTGATCGGCATAGGCTCGGGACGCAGTCTGGCCAGGTTCAGTGGAGGGGGGAGGGTCATTCAGATTGTTCTCCAGAGGGCGCAGAACGTGTGGGTGCACATCCCTCATACCATTCCTGACCGACAGGCCAGACCGGGGTACTCTTACCCGGCGAGTGCACCATACCACCATTATCCCACAGGGTCGATGAATCAGCCGCGAAGGCAACAACACTGAACATAAACATTTGGAAACATGTCAGTCACACAATTCTGCAGACCGCGCTGGAATTGCCTTTGTCTTTTCACACATGCCATGCCATAGACAGCACGATGCTCCACTTCTACCCAGTGGACACAGTCTGCAGAATGAGAAACAGGTCGGAATTGTAATCGAGCAGACACACATTAGTGGCATGGCACACACAATGGCCTTGCTGACAGAGCGATGATACCATTTGGTTCCGCAGATTAGAGGATAGGGGGAGGTTCATTCTGGCCTTGAAAGCCTCTGGCTCTGGCATGCGTTCTGGAGAGAGATGATATCATATCCAGTTGGGGATCACATCCACGGAGGCCCGGAGGAGAGCGGATCACTGTCATTTGGAGTGGCGAAGCAATCGGAGCGAAAGTGAATCACTGAACATTCTTTAAGAACCGCATCGGCATCAGCATCGGCAAAAACAGTTTGGGGGTCAGATGCAAAGCACAAAGCAGCAAAGGCAGATCAGCCACACTCGTACTCAGAGTGGCTGCTAGATGAGTGGAACCAAAATCGATTGAGACAAGGAAGGTGAGTAGAGCCAAAATCGAAGCAGCTTTAGTCATATTGCAGACGACAAAGCGCACTTCCGTTGAGACATTCCAACAAGGAAACAGTTTTACCTCAACAGCAAGTTACATGGAGCACAATAACTCGGTCCAAATCCCTTTAAATTTTAAAAGTATGTTTACTTTGGTTTTCTTTTGGGTGTTTCATCTGATCTTGCGGATCCCCTTTTACTTACGCCTCTCCCGTACAGCGCCAGCCGCCCCGCCCCATCCAACTACTTCTATGGACTAACATCCGAGCTCAATTCCACAAGACAGAGAAAACGTGGTTCGGAATGATCAGAAAGGTAACTAACGCTGTCATCCTTTCAATCCCCCGCGGCCCCTGGGGATGCACTTCGGGTTCATCAGCAGAGACAGAGATAGTTGGTTTGGGCCTCCTGGTTGGCTGTGGAAGCAGGCGCGTCTTTCTAGGTCGGGCCAGGTGTTAGAAGCCACGGGTATTGTTCCCTGCACAGAACAGCCCGCGGAAAATGCAGAGGCAATAATTTGGAGGCCGGAAATCCCCATAACCCCAGCGTCCCAGGCTGAGCTAGTGGTATACAGGTAGCTAGTGGGAGGTATATCGAGAGACGAATATAGGTTAGTTAAAAAAAAAAAAAGTAAACCCTGTGGTCCATCTGGAAGGAAAGGTACTGCAGAACCATCGAGGGACTGTTACCAGGCTAAGCTAGCATGCAGACCAGATCTGGCGTTCACAGGCTAAGCTAGCATGCAGACCAGATACGGCGTTCCCAGCTTTCTGTTAGCTGCGCCCACACCCGGAGATGGCATGTGTGGCGAATGCATTACACCTGACCAACCTACTGTCTTCCCTCAAACAAAACGTACGGTCATTGTAGCTGCATTTGGCTGACCTTTCATTCCAGATGCAGCGAACATGGCTGTATGTTTCTGTATGGGGAAAGAAGGTAGAGTGATTCTCACGATGGGTGTCGTATGACAGATGCAAGGGCCTCTCAGCAGTGCCACTCCAACTTAAAGCATCAGATAGATTTGTGTACAGATCTCAATCACAGTGCCTGGTGCACTCACCTTCTTCCTAAGTAGAAGTTTGTCCGAGTCACAGAGTTCGACTTCAGGTTTCCCCGCAAAGGTTAGCAAACGGACATCAACCATGTTTTCATCTTTCTCGTTTCCTCCTGTTGTTAAGGAAACAACACAAATATGCAACGACCACCACCCATAACCGGGCTCCTGGCACCTGTGAGGCCCTGATGAACACAGAGCAGAGGAGTCGAGTTCTCCTAACTGAGTGTGGGCGGCCCTGGAAAGGGAGAGAAAAAAAAAAACACAGCCAATGTCAGGTTTGCAAACGTACAGGATTCACTTTGCAGAACAATTAGTCTGCCTCATTTCAGAGTTTCATATTTCATTGAAGCAGCGAGTGGGCGGCAACCCCATAAAATGATAAACCAAAAAGGTATTAAAAAAAAAAAAGAAAAAAAAAAGAGTAAGAGAGAGACATGTGCATAGGTGATCAAACCAGGTAGGAAAAAAAACAGACTGTTAATGCAGAGAAAATTATTGAGAAGACTCTAGAAGTCCGGCAAAGATATCACAACAATGTTGGGAACACGCGAGTCGAAGGGTTCGTCAAGGGTTCGTACCCACAGACATGATACAGCACTAACGACTAAACCAGAAGAGGAATGCTAACCAACCAAAAAGAGAAAGCAGACGAAAAAAAAAAGAAAAAAAAAGTGGACGCAACAACAACAGTGGTAATTCAGCAACAGCCACACCATTTGAAGTAAGCGACAAGCATTCTGTGCACTGTGCCAAGATTAGGTTCTCGCCCAAACGTCCTCCATAGGCCAGACTGCAAATCTGCTGTGATATAAATGTGAGAGAGGTCTGACTATAAACCACATCGCTCTTGCCAATCATTCCCAGATTAGGCAAGCGCGGAAGCGGAATACCGCTGCATCTTGTCCCCATCCCACGGCTCCGCTGGATACGGCAAAAATCACAGTCAAGATGTGGTACAGGGTGCACATCAAGCAAGACAAGGGAAAGAGATCCTCACCTTTCTCCCAATCTTGGCCCTCCAGATCGGCGCCCATCCAATGAAAGCGAGGTAATGTCGATCGGTACCCGTGAATAGGAGAAAAGGTTCACGGAAGCAAAGGATGAAAGAGTCACAGAACTGCCAAGCAACGACAGTCCATTTCCCCCCCCCGTACATCTCAGATGTACTTTATTCATTAAACATGCATTCAACATCCTCCTTTTTCTCCCCCCCCCCCCCCCCCCCCCCTTCAAAGCAAATACATCATGAGCAATCTACACCGGTGGCCTAGAACAACAACCAAAATGCTTAACTCTGCTTAATCATGCCACAGGCTTGCTACATAAACCACCAAGCCAAGACGCATTAGCTGCATTACATCCCTGCTTAGGGTCAACAAGGCATATCGACTCAATTATCGAGTGAGTAACTGAAACACCGTACATGCCATAACGATTCCAGAAAATGCTTCACGATTATGTAACGGACTCAAGAGCAGAATTTTGAAAAGGATTAAACAGAGGAAATGAACAATCAATATAACAGTGAGGAACATGAACCAAATCAAGAGCACCTCACTGTAGTGACTGCAACGATCTAATGATTCTTATTTGATAGATTCGACCAAAAATGTAGGGCATTAAACAATGCTCCTCTTCTGGGGGGTTGCCTCTACACGTCCGGCTCTCCACCTTACGAGGGAGATGTTCATGCCGAAGGTGCCGCTGAAAATAATTTGACCTCTGCGAGCAAACATCCAATCCACTCGTAAGGTTAAACATGAACAATTGCTCGGTCCTGATCTTCTTTGCTTCCACCTCTTCTCCCACACTAGTAGTAGTACAGAGCTCAGAAGGCAAACCGAACACATCTCAGGTAAACAAATTTTTGAATTGGCTTCACAGCTGAAGCGACTGCGTGTACTTAAAACTTTGAAACCACATTTCGCATTCCAGCATCACCTGAGCTGGAAACGTCGACAGGTCCAGAGTCTACAATTTCTGGTGGCAGTGTATATCGTAGCAAAGCTGCAAATAATGGCACCCTACAGTTGAAAAGAGACTTCCTGCAAAGAGCTCCGCGCACTCACCCAAGAAGAGTGCACAAAGAGTGCCGCCCACTATCACTCCCATCAACAGCAACACCACACATGGCTATCCCTCTGGTGCCTGTTGGCGGATATAAAGGAGAAAAGAATTCAAGCGACCTCAACCAAGCACTGGTAGTCTTATAAGGGGGTGAAACCTGTCAAATGGTGATTTGCCGATACAAGTTTCTTGTCTCACCAGGGTAACTGCGCCCTACTCTACTTGATAACCAACCGGATGTGTTCGGGACCCCAAAAGAGGATACAATGGAGGGGTCAGTACCCTAGACAACAGATTCTGCTAGAAGACAAACAAAAGAGGACAGGTGTATAAAAGATCCAAGAAACTCACCTTTGTTACCCAACTCGCATCCCTTCTCCTACCCTCTCCGCCCGTGAACTGCACACAGAGATACACATCGGTTACTGCTCGCGTCCAAGCTTCCTCTCTCTCTCTCTCTCTCTCTCTCTCTCTCTCTGTGGTCGTACCTCCATGTCCTCCCCCTTATGCACACTCCTTGCCTGGTGCCCAATAACAATGCTCCAGGCGCCTGCACCCTCGTAATAAGACCAAGAAGAGCCATTTTGGTTTGTCGCAGCCAGCATTGATTGGCCTGACACCCCTTTGTTTAGCTCCAGGAAGGAACGCAACCACAACGAGAACTGGTCCGCTTCGCTAGTGCATGCAGATGTCGGCTCCCAGGTATCTAGCAGCTTCAAACTCCCCTCCAAGATGTATTATACAAACAACGGACCAGATGCGCGTTTCAAAAGCTCCACAACACACTCCACAATCGCTCTCTCACCGTCTGTGCGATGCGCTCCTGCCACCCAGCGCGCCAATACAATGTCCAAGGCCTGGCGTAACTGCAGGAGGAGGCCTGCAACTCTCCTCTCTACACCAAATCGTAAGAAGCCATCAACATCCAGCATCTCCCAAGACACACCTGGAGGAAGCCCTGGCACACCTGTGGCATTCTGCAGTCTCACTAAGCCACCAAAGAATACCAGAGACAGGGGAGGAACTAGCGTGCATTGCCTCGCAAAGATTAGAGTCGTAAGCAACTTCTCCTGAAAGACCAGGAAGTGATGCGAATCCGAGTTTAGCTTTTTCTCCACAATCACACTGGTTGGGTGGACAAACACCCTTGACCCCTCAGCCCGGAAGCCTAGTCGATATCTATATGACTTTGCGTTCTTACCTCCCTTTGCTTCCCTGTACATCTCTGACTTGGCGACATTCGGATACAGCCCAGCAGTTATCACAGATCTTGCAACGACTGCTGCTTCCTCCTTGTTTGGTATCCGTACCCACGAGTCTGTGAGATGCGAGTCGCGTAAAGTCCGGTCAAACTGTTTCCGCATGCCACCGATAAGTCTCATTGTGTTGCTCGAAAGGAAGTTTATGTCACAGAACATGTACCCTCTACCCCCATCCATTGCAGCCGCTGATTCCCAAGCATCGAAGGCCTGCACAAGCACAAGGTGGTCGCTCCGTGTGCATGACCCAACTGCAAAGCTTTCCCGAATACGATCGACTTCTGCTCTTTTACCAATTGGTGACAGAAACGGATCTCTAAAGCAAGCCGCTGCCGCGATCGTCAATAAGGGGTCCAGGCATCCTAGCAGTGCCCCATAGACGAGCATCTTGCCGATCCTTGGATGAACAGCTAGCTTGGCCAATGTTCGCCCAAGAACAGTCAAGTTCTCACTTTCATCGATCGCACCAATTTGCTGGAGCACCTTGATTGCCAGAATGACTGCGGATGTTGCCGGTGGTTGCAGAGCCTTCGACAAGAAACTTTCGATGTTCCCAATCGAATAGAGAGGTGAATCCATTCTGCTGTCCGGCTGCACCACATCACAAGTCACATGCTCACAGGTCAGTGTACTGTAGACTGACAAACCGGTCACGCAGAACGAGTTGACCAGCCCTGTGATTTATGTCAAACAAGCACTAAGTGGCAATGAAGTCTGAAGGTTGAAATCAACTTTGACCTTGCTCACCTTGCCCGCTGGTTCCAAACCAAATTGGCCCAGGCCAGCAAGAAAATGTTGAATTTTCTCTTCACGGCTGACACTTCCACCATGACAGGAAAAACGTCAGCCTTCTTGTGGCAGACATTTCATCAGCAATCATTTTCGTCGGAAGGGGGTACCGGACCCGAAATGGCCTGGACGCCCTTCAGCGGCCTCAGGGAGGCAGCCTCCACAAAAAAAAAAAAAACAGTAAAAACAAACCTGAGACCTAGGGAGATATCCCGGGCGCCCGGGTCCCGATGTCACGCCCGGTTTGGCGACCGGGTGACCAGCCAGGCATGACCCCCGGGGATGACCCCGGGCAGCCCAAGCGCAAAAAAATCAAATAAAATAAAAAATAAATCAAATCCAAAAAAATATGACAAAAAAAAAAATGTTCTGTAGAATTGCAATACAAACAACTTTTCGCTGAGGGTCACATCAGAATTCCTCACGGAACTAAAGATGAAAAAGAAAATAAGCATATCACATTAAGGCACCCCACTTTAAACCCCTTTAGCCCCTTAAAAATTCATTTATACTCCCCTGTTCCCCCCTTGACAGCCAACAGTCAAAAAAAGAAAAGAACCCGGATCGGGTGCCTCTCGGAGAGGGCGGAAAAACCCCACCGCCATTTTTTTTATTTTTTTTTTGCCATGACCGGGTAACCCGGGCGTCACGCCCTGGTGACCGGCTGGTCATGAAAATCTTCCTAGATTGAGACCGGCCGATGTGGGCCGCCGATCTCGTCAGATCAGCGGCCCAGATCGGCTGCCAATTGAAACAGCTTTGGGAGATTCAAAAAAAAAACACCCACCTTCCCCTCCCCCTTCGCAATCCCCCGTTCCCCCTGACGCCTGCTGATGTTTGCTTGGTGCTGCCGCTGCTGCCATTCCCACTTCGCCTCTGCACTGCTGCTGCCACCCTCATGACCCCACTCAGGCCTTCCATTCGTGCTACAGCAGCCAGCGTGCCATGCCAATCACCGCCCTCATGCAGAAGGGCATGCCATATAAGACAGTGCCCCGTGTGGTGACGGGCACAATCTTCTTCTTCGTCGCGTGGAGAGAGAGAGAGAGAGAGAGAGAGAGAGAGAGAGAGAGAGAGAGAGAGAGAAGGCGGCGAGTTTGCCGCGGCCCTCCGTGCATCGCCGCCCCCCTCTCTCTGTCTCTCTCTCTCTCTCTCTCTCTCTCTCCCCCTCTCCCCCTCTCCCTCCCTCCCTCCCTCCCGAGTGACTTTGTTTTTTTAGAGAGAGAGAGAGAGAGGGGGGGGGGGGGGGGGGGGGGGAAAGAAAGTTTTGAGAAAGAGAGAGAGACACCCAAAGAGAGAGAGAGAGAGAGAGAGAGAGA